AATGTGAAAGTATCAATATTACTTTTCGTGAATATATGCTTAACAAAATTTGAAGGATAAGTGGAGTCTTCCCAGCTATTTTTGCTTGAAAATGGAATAAGTAGTAATCTTCAGTTCTAAATTCTATAGTAGCTGGTTTTTACAACTTTTTACAATCAAAATATCCGGTAGGAAGGTCTTTACTAAATAAGGTGACTTTCAATTGCAATCGAAGTTCTCAGTCTACAGGAGATGGAAAATACCAAAAGTGATCCTATAATTTTTCACAGGCAAAAACTGGTCACTTTCTGTAAAATATTTATCTCTCACTCTCATTAGTAGGAACCAAGAATCTGATTTCAGGGATGGATAGAGCACACTTAAATATTTCTATTGTGAATGACTAAAATACTTTTAGGAATTCTAATTGAAAGAAAAACAGATAACTAATCCAAATTTCATGGGTGATTCTATAATTTTTCACAACACTGTATTTAAGCTAAGAAAGAGGCAGAAAACTATACGAAAACTAAGATAGTTTAGTGAGTTCAGGCACTCGCCTTCACCTTCCCCCTCATAATGAATTAATACAAGTGTCTATGATACATAAATATCAGATTTTCAAAAATAATTGAACATGAAAATACCTAGCGATAGCCAAAAGTACTGGCGAAGATTCTTTATTTTCTTACACAAGCATTGAGGAGGTTTTCTTTCTTTATGAGGCGATAGAGAAAATGAAGCTCTATTTTATCATTATTCAACTGGTATTATAATAATTACATTTTGATAAGAAATCTTTTTGTGTAAAACTTGGTCTACAACTTACGTAAGACAACTTATTTTACAGTTGCACGTTGGACTTTCAAAATGAACAAAACTTTGAGGCACCAATTTTCGGTCGTGCGGAAACTATATGTTTTGGGTGTGAGTGCGGATATAGGATGTCTGTGTGACTGTTACCCCCTATTGAATAAATATCACACTCATATCCACACCCACACCCTACATATGAATTGCACTGATAAGCTTTTCATATAGAAAAATGCATTATCTTTTCAAAATTGTGCATCAAAACAATCTGTAGTCTGTAAGGATGATTTATATGTGATAAAGAATGTTTATTGAAAGAAAAAAAAACGACACGTTCCTTTAACACTTCTAATGTTGTTTTTTTTTTGTGCTATTGATATTACTCTTATCTCACTCTTTATCTAGGCAGAACACAACGCTATCTTTGGTTTCATTCTCACTGATGTAAGAAGTAAAAACATATTACAGTGATTATCGTGTTAAGCAATATGAGCACTACAAAAAGTAGGATAGTTTTAATGCCTCCACTTCTCGTCGATCCCGAGAGTGAACTTTATACTGATGAACCTATTTATGATCCTGATATTCATTTGGCATTGACTGAACCTAATTTTGTCGTATTACTTGATGGTTTTCAACATGTGCCAAAAGCACCACAACTAAGTAAACCCGTAGCAGCCAATGGAGAAAGTCAAATAGCTTACACTGGACCTTTTCGAGTGTTAAGTGATGAAGGCTATCGTGTATTACGTATGATTCTTAAGCGTGAAATGGCATATCAAATACGTGATGAACGTCATCCAGCAAAAATTCGATTTGGTGGCTATCGTAGTAAATGGTTGCAAGATTTTAATCGATGTCCTCGTATTCTCGAGCATCTATCGCGTATTACTGGTGATGTGCAACTTTTGCCTACAACTCTTCAGTCAAGTTATAGCCATACAAATATAGGCTACGCAAGTCCAGACAATGTCGATTCGTTCCATCGCGATAGTGTACCATATGTTATCATTTTATTGGCATGTGATATGAGTGAAACAATTGGAGGAGAATTGCAACTTATAGAACGTAATTATGAAGAGGCCTTCCGTCTTATCGAACAATACAAGGGAAAAGTACCGAAAGAATTTCTTCGAACAATTGATTATCTCGGTCCCAATTCATGTGTGTTTATGCAAGGTGAATGAGATTATTTTTTCTTTCTATAAGAGAATATATTAATTATCATATAGGTAGCCGTATTGTTCATCGAGTGACAAATATTCAGTCATGTACAGACCCTCGAATAACGGTGGTCAATTCATACATGTCAACCAATCCATTTGCTGCTGAATGCACAAGATATGACACGTTTCGTAAAGAGAGAACAGGTGCATTGGAATTTGCTATGCATAAGATATGGCGCTCCAGTGTTTTAATGCTCGATCTCGCCTCGGGGGAACATCCGTGGCCGACTACGGATCAAGTTGTTGAACGACTAAATAAATCTATTAAAGAACTCACTCAATGTCATGATCTTCTTACCGAGAAAACATCGGATCGAGTTGGATTTTATGATGAAAAGAAACAGCAAATGGGTTTCATCGACAAGCCTCCAACTGCATTGAAAACAGACGAAAACAGTACTTAATCTTTTCTTGTATAAAATCAAATCAAAATGTTTCGTTTTGAATAAATGACATACACTCACTGATATTCTTTTACTAATAGAAGGGGTGTGGGTATGGGTGTGGGTGTGGGTGGGTGTGGGTGTGCTTGTCAAAGAAGACAAGAGCCACACCCACACCCTCTAGAAACGAAAATTCACCTGTGTCTGTCTGTCTGTAACACTTGGTACAAATGACCATTTTCGTGGTACAAAGTACCATAGTGATGATACAAGTGATCATTTTCATGGTACAAAAGTAACACTTTGGTGGTACAGGCGACCATTTATTTGACACAATTGGTCATTTTCATTATACGAATGGCGTTTTCTATGGCTCAGTTCAGCATTTCCACGACACAATCAACCATTTCTATGGCACAGTTGACCATTCTTGTGGCTCAAATGAGCATGTCTGTGTCACAATTGGCCATGTCCGTATTAGAAATGGTCATAACTTTGACATGAATCACCATGTTAGTCGTTATAATTAACTAAAGCATAAACTTTATCATATACAGTAGCATCTTTCAATATTTCTTGTGAACTATTTGAATATATCTATAGTATGTAATACAGAAAATGTTACAAATATTAATAATTTCTCGTAGACTCATCATTATACAGAATTCATTTTTATTTAAAAATATAAGGACATCTTTGCCATAATTCCGTCAGTCTCGGGCCAAGTGAATCGACATTCAATGTCGATGAACGTTACTTGTCTGTTAACGTTTACCGATATAGAATACAATAAGTCCGAAAAGTATAGAAGCCAAGATCATAACAGCAAGTGTGACGAGAATAAAGCCAATAGTACCGATCAATATTGAATTCATACAGAAACTAATTAGAAGAGGTATAATTGCCCCACCCATCGAACCACCAATAGCCAAAATTGACATGCGTTTACCATTCAATTTAATATGTTCCTCAGTATAGGATATTGTCGATGGATAAATTGAAGCAATAAAAAGTCCGAACAGAATTGAACCAATCCATAAGATAATTGATGATTTATTAAAAACAAAAAGAAGTACGAGTGAACCAATACAACCGATTAAATCGATAAAGATCATTTGCAATGAAGATAATTTAGTCGATAGTGGAATTCCACAAAGACGACCGAAGGCAAATGATGCCCAAAAAGTTGAATTAAGATAGGCAGCAATATCTTTAAGAAAATTTAAATGAAGACTCGCATAAGTATGTAAATAGGCTCCAAATGCTGATTC